TAGGCGGGGAGCATGCGGTGCTCCAGAGGGATAAGGATGTGGTGTGTAGGGTGGCCTGGAGGTATATGTTGGAACTGTTATAAGGTTGGAGAGGCGTAAAGGTTGGAACTTGGTATAAGGTTGGAACATGGACGTGTTTGTTGTTGTTTGTTATTGTTGAGTCTTATTGTCGTCTTGTCTTGTGGTCATAGTTTGCATGCTTGTGTCTTCATGTGCCTTGTCGTGTTAAGTCGGTTCATGTATCTTAAGTGTTATTCCTGGTTTTGAAGCTAGAGTCATGTAGGACTATATCTATGTATTCCCAATTCTCAAAATGGTTTCCTATATTTATTTACTTATTGTACTCAACGCGTGGGAGTGGGTTGCTTAGCATTATTCGCTAACGGTTGTGATACAGCATGTTTTTTAGGTACTGATTAGTTGGCCAAGAGTGCGCTAGATGGAGCTACGGTTCCTAGCTTAGTTAGACGGCCCGTGAGTCATGCTTGTATTTGGATAATGATTATGGTTTATGCTTTGTTTAGTTAGTTTTAGCCTGTTCATCTAGGTTCTCAAGCTTAGATGTGGCATAACACCCCAACACTTATGTTTAGCTTCCGCTCTGTTTTGGGTATTAATGATAGATTTATCTTTATTTCGTAAGCTTTAATGGTTTTAAATTATGCTGAAAATTGGGGGTGTTACAAATATCTCTAAGATGTTTTTAAAGGTAGACTAACTTGTGTATCGAATTGAGGGTACTCGATATGAATGTCGAAGCAATACTTTATTTTTCATGTCTTTTATTTCAATCTTCGTCTTTAGGCATGAGCCAATATCATCAAGCTCTTTATGTATTTCAATAATATTTATACTATTAACATAGACTACGATAATAAACAAATACAGAGTAACTCAATTAGCAACTCTTTAATGCACACATAATGGCACATATTATTTGCATAATCCTTCTTTAGGAGGAAAAACACTCAACCAATTATTAATTATTTAAGTCATATAAAGATTTTTGTTATTTAATACTATCATGTTGTCATCTTCATTTTTCTCACTCTGAGAGTTTTTAATCATTTAGAGACTTTTCAAATAAATATTAGCATTTAATTACATGTGAGTACGCGATCGTGACATTCATCAACTACATATCTAAATCTATTATTTATTGTCAATGATGTTATGTAGCAAAACTTAGTGTGATACATTTTGAGAGAGTATAATTGAACAAAATCAATTCTAGGTCTCTGCATAAATCTCTTGAGCTACTAGTCTCAATTTATATCACACTACCACATTATTATTTGTATTTCTCTTTTGTACAAACACCCATTTGTAACCTACAAGGTTAACATTCAATGGTGTACGTGTTATACAGATAATACATTTTCTGCGAGTTGAGGTATGCCTTAATTGCTCCTTTATATATTAATCAGCCAGGGCGCTTCTGGCACCTAACCCTGGATCTAGATTGTTATATAATATGAGCAATTATAAAGGCAATTATGTTATCAATAACCATCGACAACTAAGTCAACCATATTCTAGCCATTTCTCAAAGATATTTACATCTGGTCATTCCGCAGTATTATGATTATTTAGTGCACCTATAATTTTACTGAGATTTGAGTTTTTCACCTTCCGGACGAACGTCTTTAGATCATAACTCTTTAAAAGATTTCAAGAGTGGCAAAATTTTTCTACTAGATTTAGCTTTCTGCGAATTCTTATCTTTTACACCGATAGGTCTCCCACACTTCTAGCGTCCAAGTTGGGGAATGTATATGGGACCTAGTCACTCTTTTATGATCACCTGTATATATTTCGCAAATTATTTGCTAAATGTTACAAATCGATTATCTTATGAACTTCTAGTTTAGTCTAACTAGTATGCGGATTTAAATACTGAATATCTTTTTTATTCTATGAAATTGCTTCGCATTGTACTAAATTTGGGCGCTTATCTTGCCCTAATACCATGAAATGATCTTCATAAAGTGTGCAGTCAGTGTACCTAATTATATATTGATCCCCTATATATCATGGACTCTAGGTATTTAAATAACAGACGGATGTTTATAACCAACATATATATCTCGTTTAACTTGATAGCCCTTAGAGGAACGTTATGATCGTGTGATGTACTTTGAATAAAACGCAAATATGAAAATGTTTTGATTTCACAGTACTAATAAGTGTTAGGGAAAATAATTGTGATTTGCAACATGTCATATTCAGGGCCGATCCAAACATTTTATAGGCTTGGGTCGAAATTTAAAAAAAGGACCCCTATGTGAAAAACTAAAATTTAAATTTAATAATATTAAAAAATGATAATATTAAATCTACATCTATACAAATTTAATAAGAGGCAATCAAGTTAGGCTCTTAACGGGAACAAAAAATGTTGGTGTAATGGTTTCATATTATTTTAATTTTAGTATTTTTTTAAAATATTTTTTCTTCTTTACCCTCTATCATATTATTTTCTTCCCTTAAATAACCACGCATTCCGTTAGAATAAACTTTAGTAACAGAATATTCCATTAACTATTTATTATTCTTAACTTATTCATTAATTTATAGAGAAAATTTCAATTTTGGTCCTATGACTATATGGGTCTTGTTAATTTCAGTCTCCGACTTTTAAAAGTGTCAATTTAGTACCTTGACTATGCAATTTTTATCAGTTTTGATCACTCCGGTCAAATTGCCGGCCAAATTTCGCCAAAAAAAAACATAATTAACCAATAATGTTTAATCTGAGGGACAAATTCGCCTTTTTACTACCTTTCCCCTCCACTCCTCCCCTTCCTCACAAACCACCATCCAAATCCATTATTTCCGGCGATGGTGGTTAGGCCATGGATAGGAAAAGGCAACAGCTTCTTGTGTTTCAGTCCAAATCTGGCAGGTATTCAGCTTTACTTTTCGGTATTCCCTCCCATTCTTAAAGCTTGTTTAAACCTCCCGCTCTCCTTCACACATGGACATGTTGCCTCCATCCACGCATCTATGCTCAAGCATGGTTTCGCAGCAGCATTCACTTCCGTCTTGCTGGGTTTCAATCCAATGTCTCCACCTTGATGCTTGTGGTTCAGACTTGTAGAAATCTTGCAACTTTTTTTAATGGACAGAAGATTCATGGTTACGTAATTCAAAGTGGGTTTTCGGCTGTAAACTCCGTCCAGAACTCACTACTGAATTTGTATACAGAATTTGGAATGGAACTTGCACGGGAGCTGTTTGATGAAATGAGTGACAGAGATGTAATTTATTGTGGAAACACAAGAAGTATAATTCTCATCAGAGTGCCTTTGCCGATCCTGGCCTAACCATCATCGCCGGAAATAATTGATTTGGCTGGTGGTTTGTGAGGGAGGGGAGGAGTGGGGGAGAAAGGTAGTAAAAGACGAATTTGCCCTTCAGATTAAATATTAATTAGTTAATTATGTTTTTCCGGTGGAATTTGGCCGGCAATTTGGTCGGAGTGATCAAAATTGATAAAAATTGCATAGTCAAGGTATTAAATTGACACTTTTGAAAGTCGAAGACTGAAATTAACAAGACCCCTATAGTCATAGGACCAAAATTGAAATTTCCTTTTAATTTATATAAGAAAGGTCTTAGGTTTAAACCCTATCTTAATCAAAGTTGGTATAATTGTTAAACATATCCTATGAATATGTTAAAATTTAGTTTGAGTTTTTTTTTTTTTTTTTTTTTTTTTTCGTTTGATTAATCTTCTTTTGATTATTTAGAACAAAACTCAATATTTCAATTATGCATTTGTATTATTTGAATGATTTAGGTTATTATTGTATTAATATTTTTTGTATATATTTCTATAATGGTATAATTATATATTACGTTACAATTACTGTACTATTATTTTTTTATCGGACAAAATTATTCTTATACATCATTGTCAGACCTGCGCGGCCTAACTACAAAGTTGTTGATCAGACATACAACTATACCTGCACTGTAAACGGTAGAACTATTGTCCAAAGAATTGACAATATTGACATCCCATTGACTTCAATTGAACAAGTTTACACATAATTCTCATAATTTTATCAATACATGAAAACTTCTAAAGAAATTTATAAGTTAATTTTTACTGTATAATTATAACAATATCTATTGTAACCATATATTTCGAATGATTTGTTATCATCCTCTATTGACAACAATTAAAGCAATTCTCTTTGACAAACTCGGAACTCACAAAACAATTTATCTCAACAACAAATGTAAATTTAAAAAAATAAATAAATAAATGACTTCATTGTTGTGGATGAAAAGTAAGTATCCACTTTATTACTCGTATTAAACTGAATAAATTAGTAGCTACAACAAAAAATAATGTATATGCAATATTTAATTTAGAATTAGATGTCTATAATGCCTTTATTAAAAAAAATGATTCATTATCAAAAAATTAAAAAATGAGATATAATTTCATTAGTGAGTTTTTTGCACGTTTGGTCCTACGACTATAGTGTCACTATCTTGATTGATCCGCGACTTTCAAACCTTGCAATATCAGTCCACGGCTATTGTTTTTGTTGCAAAAATGGTCCTTTCAGCCAATTTTCCGTCAAAATCTCACCTGAGAAAAAAATTCTCTATCTCAAGTAGGGATAAAATAGACATTTACATTGACCTTGCAATCTCGGACCGTTGTTGACCTCTTATTATGACCAAAGTGCGAAAAATCAATTGCCAGAGACGAACCCTAATATGCTCTCATCTCACCAACCCATCTGCGAATGAGTTTTTTTTGTTTGTTTGATTTTTTTTTTCGCACTTTGGTCAGAATAAGAGGTCAACAACGGTCTGAGATTGCAAAGGTAATGTAAATGTCTATTTTATCCCTGCTTGAAATGAGGAATTTTTTATTTTTAATTTTTTTGAAGGGAGGAACTTTTTCTTTAGTGAGATTTTGACGGAAAGTTGGCTGGAAGGACTATTTTTACAACAAAAACAATTAACTGTGGAATGAGATTGCAAAGTTTGAAAGTCGCGAA